TAGGTAGATGAATTTGTGTCTGGATTCTCAATTCTGTTCCATTAGTCTGTGTATCTGTTGTTGTACCAGTACCAGGCTGTTTTGACTACTGTGGTGGTATAATAGATTCTAAAATCAGGTAGTGTGAGGCCTCCCACTTTGTTCTTCTTCTTGAGTAATGCTTTACTTATTTGGGGCCTCTTTCCTTGCCGTAAGAAGTTGGTGATTTGTTTCTCCATCTCATTAAAAAATGCCGTTGGAATTTAGATCAGGATTGTGTTGTATCTGTAGATCACTTTGGGTAGAATTGACATTTTCACGATGTTGAGTCTGCCTATCCGTGAGCAAGGTATGTTTTTCCACTTATGCAGGTCTCTCTTGGTTTCTTGCAGTAGTGTCTTGTAGTTTTCGTTATATAGGTCTTTTATATCTCTGGTTAGATTTATTCCTAAGTAGTTTATTTTCTTGGGGGCTATTGTAAATGGTATTGATTTGGTGATTTCCTCTTTGAGGTTCTCTTTGTTGATGTAAAGGAATCCAGCTGATTTTTGTATGTTTGTCTTGTATCCTGAAACTTTGCTGAAATCTTCTATTAGTTTGATAGTTTTCTTGCAGATTTTTTGGGGTTTTCTGTGTATAAGATCATATCATCTGCAAATAGAGATACTTTGACTTCTTCCCTACCAATTTGGATGCCCTTTATTTCTTTTTCTAGCCTAATTGCTCTGGCTAGGACCTCCAGCACAATGTTGAATAAGAGTGGTGATAAAGGGCATCCTTGTCTGGTTCCCATTCTCAAGGGGAATGCTTTCAAATTCTCTCCATTTAGGTTGATGTTGGGTGTTGGCTTTGTATAAATGCCTTTAATTATATTGAGGAATTTCCCTTCTATTCTTATTTTTTGGGGAGTTTTTATCATGAATAGGTGTTGGACTTTGTCAAATGCCTTTTCTGCAATAATTGATAAAATCATGTGGTTCTGTTGTTTTATTAATGTGATGGGTAACACTGATTGTTTTTCTAATGTTGAAGCATCCCTGCATACCTGGTATAAAGCCCACTTGATCATGGTGAATTATTTTTTTGATATGTTGCTGAATTCTATTGGCTAGAATTTTGTTGGGGATTTTTTTGTCAATGTTCATGGGAGATATTGGTCTGTAATTTTCTTTTTTTGTGGTGTCTTTACCTGGTTTTGGTATCAGGTTACGCAGGCTTCATAGAATGAGTTTGGGAGTATTCCATCCTTTTCTATGCTCTGAAATACCTTTAGTAGTAGTGGTGTTAACTCTTCTCTGAAAGTTTGGTAGAATTCTCCAGTGAAGCCATCTGGGCCAGGGCTTTTTTTTGTTGGGAGTTTTTTTAATTACCTTTTCAATCTCTTCTTTTGTTATAGGTTTATTTAGTTGTTCTGCCTCTGTTTGTGTTAGTTTAGGTAGGTAGCGAGTTTCTAGAAATTTGTCCATTTCCTCTAGGTTTTCAAATTTGTTAGTAAATTGTTTTTAAAATGTTAAACCAACCTTGCGTTTTGAGATAAACCCCACTTGGTCCCACTTGATCTTGTGTATTGTTGGATTTGATTTGCTAAAATTTTGTTCTGAATTTTTGCATCTATGTTCATGAGGGATATTGGTCTCTAATTTTATTTTCTTGTATTATCTTTATATTGTTTTAGTGTCAGAGTAATGCATGTCTCATAGAATGAGTTGGGAAGTATTTCCTCCTCTTCATTTTCTGGAATAGTTTGTTAAGATTGGCCTTATTTCTTTCTTAATGTTTAAGTCATCTGGGCCTAGAGTTTTCTTTGTAGGAAGGTTTTTAACTACAGATTGAATTTCCTTAATAGATAAAGTGCTATTCCGATAATCTGTTTATTTTTGAGTGAGCTTTGGTGTTTGTCTTTCAAAGAACTTGTCTGTTTCATCTAAGTTGTCGAATTTATTGACTTAAGTTGTTCCTAGTATTCCTTATTATCCTTTTAGTATCTGTATAGTCTGTAGTGATTTCACTTCTGTCATTCCTGATATTGGTAAGTTGGATCTTCCTTCTTTTTTCCTGATAATCCTGGTTAGAGATTTATCAGTTTTATTCATCTTCTCAAAGAATCAGTTTTTTGTTTCCTTGATTTTCTCTGTATGGTTTTTCTGTTTTCTGTTTCATTGATTTCTGCCTTGATCTTTATTATTTTCCTTCTGCTTACTTTGGGTTTCTCCCTTCTTTTCCTGGTTTCTTAAGGTAGAAGCTGACATCATTGATTTGCAACCTTCTTTCTCCTCTAATAGAGGTGCTTAGTGCTATACATTTCCCCCAACCACTGCCTTAATGGCTTCCCACAAATGCTTGTATGTTATGTTTTCATTTTCATTTAATTCAGAATACTTTGTAATTTCCCTTTTGATTTCTTTCTTGACCCTTGAGTTATTTAGAAGTGTATTATTTACTTTCCAAATATTTGGAGATTTTCCAGATATCTTTCTGTTATTGATTTCTAATTTAATGCCATTGTGGTCAGAACTTTGTTGGTTTGTAACACTTGAATGTTTTAAATTTATTGAGACTTCTTTTATGGCCGAGAATAAGGTCTATTTTGATAAATATTCCATGTGAACTTGAAAAGAATGTGTATTCTGCTGTTGGGTGGAGTGTTCCGTAAATGTCAGTTAGGTCAGGTTGTTTTTTAGTATTGTTTAGCTCTTTATGTTCTTACTGATTTTTTATCTACTTGTTCTAGCATTTATTGAGAGACAATATTGAAGTCTCCAGCTATAATTATAAATTTCTCTATTTCTTCTTGGAGCTCCATTAGTTTTTGTGTCATATATTTTGAAGCACTGTTATTTAAGTGTATGAACATTTAGAATTGTTTTGTCCTCTTGATTAATTGACCCCTTAATTGTTATGAAATGACCTTCTCTATCTTTGTAAGTATTCTTTGCTATGAAATCTGCTTTGTCTGATATTAATATAGTTACTTTAGTGTTTTTTTTTTTTTTTGGTTGTTATTAGCAATGTTTATCTTTTTCATCCTTTACTTTTGGCCTATTTATATCTCTATATTTAATGTGCTGTTTTTTTGAAGCCAGCATGTAGTTTGGATATAAAAGCAAGGCTCATCTGACAGTCTCTGCCTTCGAATTGGGGTAGACAGTTTACATTTAATGTGATTATCGATGTGATTATGTTTAGATCGGTCATCTTAGTATTTGTTTTTTCTGCGTCTCGTTTGTTTATTCTGTTTTGTTCTGAATTTTGAGTATTTTTTGTGATTCCATTTTATCTCCTTTATTGGCCTGTTAGTTATGAACTTTGTTTTGGTTATTTTAGTGGTTTCTTTAGGGTTAATAGTATTCATCTTTAATTTATCACACTCTGTCTTATCTTCCAAAGCCTCTTCTATGGATAAATAATATTTTCTTTGACAAGAAAGCTGTAGTATCATAACCAGAAACACCTGCTATAATCTAATACATGGAGAAACTGCTTATTTCTCTTGAGCCTTTGTTGTCCTGGAAATTACTGCTCTTTCATGCTCTAGTAAGTGGCAGACAAGCTCTTCTACAAAAGTGTTATGTGAATAATACTTAGGCCTGAAACATCAGCCTTGAACACTTGTTATATTTTTTTAAAGTCATTTCTATAAGCTACTGTTAGTATTTCCAAGTTCATCGTAATTTAATTAGCCTAACTTAAATTTTTACCCTACTTTCTGGGGGTGTTCAAGCTGAAGAGTCTATATTAGGCCACAGTCTGAGCAAAGATAAGAGATGTTTTGTATCCCAGTAGTAATATTCACTTACAAACCTGTAAAATTTACTAAGTGATATATTTCCTAATTCCTTACCTCATTTGCTCCCCAAGACACATTCATGAAATGACACGGGCAGGTGATGTGTCCATTTTACAGAGGTGGAAACGCAGCACCCAAGAGCAAGAGCTAAGGTGACTTACCCCCAGATCATTCAGTGTGTCAGTGGCAAAGTTGGAACCCAAAGCTTGGTATCTTCCCCTGGTGCCACACCATTTCACACTCATTTGTGACTTGGTGCCGCTACCATAATCGCGTTTTCCCTAGGCTTCCAGGCTAAGGTTGCCTAGTGGCAGCAACCTTATTTCCCTAACGGAAGAGTTTGTGTTTTTGGCCAGACTAGAGAGGCTGGGATTAATAGCTGAGTAAACATTCACAAGTGACAGCACAAATTTGACAGGGAAATGTTTTCTTTCCAGCATTAATCTAGAAATGGAGCATGGCTAGTGAGTGAGCAATTTCTGTTTGTAGTTGAAATGTAATAACCCATTGTAGTACATTCTGCTCAAAAGGAGATCAGTGGAGATGGTGAGAGCTGATGGCTGAATATAGTGTTCATATGCAAATAATTAAATTCTGTTGAGTGTCAAAGTACTTGGTTTCTACTTTTGGATTTCCAGCTCATTTTTACAGTGACTGAGGGTCTATTTTTATATCTTTGAAACTTAGGTCCTAAGTTCTTTGATTTCTAACTGACAAGAATGAATGTGAAACAAATTCTTGCAAATGTTCAGCGCCAAAGGACAGCTGGGTGCACAGAAGGAATCTTGGATCAAGAATCAGAGAGATCAGGGTTTTAGGTCTGGCTGTCCTCTTGAGTCACTATGTGATTTGAGGCAAAGCATTTAACTACTCTGGACCTCAATGATAATACGTACTTCATAACATTGCTGAGAGCATTAAATGATATACTGGCCGAGTATTTAGCACTGTGTGGTACCTCACCTCAGTATAGCAACTATGCTGTTTTTATTTTTCTGGTACCTACCTGTGTAACCTTGGGCAACTCTAGTCTCGCATTTGAATTCAGTTTCTCCATTTCTGAATAGTGAACTAGTTGTATCTTAGGATCTTTCCGACTGTGGCTTTTTATACCATGAGTTGGCTGTCCTCTACAAGCTGGTGTCCCCCTGGCATTATTGTGGTTATAATGACCATCAGAGTTTAAGAGAGGTTGGACTGTAGTGTTGATTCTGACCTGCTCTTTCCATTACAGACAACTACATACACCCGCCGGGGCCATGGGACTTGCACCAGCCCAGGTTGCTCCTTTACATATGTCACCAGGCACAAACCACCAAAGTGCCCTACATGTGGTAACTTCCTAGGAGGGAAGTGGATCCCAAAGGTAAGGTCCATTGGCCATTGCTACCTGGAAGCCCCACAAAGTATGCTTCCTTTTGCTCTTAAGAACAGATGACTTAAAAAATATTTATTTTTACTTTCTGACTACGTAAGTAAGTCCTTTTTATTGTAGATGATTTATTTAAAAAAAAAAAAAAAATAAGGTAAAACGTCATCTGTGATCATAGACCTCCAAAAAAAACCATTATTAACATTTTGGTGTACAAGTAGTCCTCGACTTACAACGGAGTTCCATTCTGACAACTCCGTCATCTTAAGTCGGTTTTGACATGAATCTAATATCTCATTTTTTTTCCGTTCTTATTGCATTTTATTATCAGTATCTTTATAAATATGATCTTTATTTGTCTTTCGGAGTTGGAAACATTACATATAAACTTACGTACTTTCATACATACATAACATTCATAAAAAAATACACAGATCATTAAAATTAACAATGAAGAAGAGTTGGATGACATTGGCATTTTGTCAGTTGCAGTAGTAACTCCACCTGTGGAAGGTTCTGGATCATCCTGGGAATGGGGATGATGTTTCTAGTCAGAAGATTAGTGAGAGTTGTCTGTATGGCCCTTTTCTTTTTTTTTTTTTTCCTTCATATATTTCGCAGTTACATCTCGCTGCTTCCTGAATCCACGCATCAGCTTTAGCAAAGCAGCCTGTGTTTGGGTCCATGTTTTCAAGCAACTGAAGCCCCTGATATAGTTTAGAAAAAACTGCAGCTAAGTTTTCACTGTACAGTTTTCTGATAACTTCTCTCCTTCCTCTTCCGTCTCGTCCAGCCCATTGAAGAAGTTTTCAGCAGCTTCAACACTGGCGTTTCCTACTTCTCCACGTTATGCACACGTTATGTAAGCCAAATCTGCATATGAAGCGATGAAACCAGCCCTTGGGGGCATTAAAGTACTCCCAGTAATCTTTTCCTTGCTGTTCCTTCGGGTTTTCAGAAAGGCTGCATGCTTTGGTTTTCATCATCAGTAAACTCATAGGAATCCTCTTCTGGATTTGGTCTTCTGTCCAGATCATCAGCCACTTTTCCATCTCGTGGATTGGCCTTCGCCTCTTCTCTGTTAAAATTGTTGATTTTGTGCCAGTCACTCCTTTTAACGGCCTCCAAAATCCTATTCTTATCCTTAATGATAATCAAAATAGTCGAATGAGACAGCCCTTCCTCACTGACTTTCTATTATCATAGGTCTTATGATCTTAATCTTTATATCCATGTCTAGAGCTTTCCTCACATTCTTTTTTGGATTATAGTGTTCAGTGGCATGGCTTCTTTTGCTAGACATATTGTTGGGGGTATAAGCAGTACAGGTATTACAGTTAGAGAAACTTGAACACCTCGGCTTCAAATTAACAACTGATGCTTCTTATGGTACGAAATGCTGAATAAGATCATGCCGTAGGCCTGGTCTACGAAGAAGTTGGTGTCGGTTTCGTAACCATGAAGTTGGAGTCGTAACAGCTGTCAGGCACACGTGCAGTTCAGTTGTCATATGTCGTTAAGAGTTGAACGTTGCTCAACTTTCTTTCCGTTACAACTCCAGACACTGACACCAGCTTCATTGTAGACCAGGCCATAGCCTGCTATATGGCAGTGTTTTGAAGAGTAAATCATAAAATTCAACATTCTTGAGTGAACGTCTGAGAATGATACATCAGGAAATTATGCGCTGCGACATCGTAGGTAGTACGTATTAATAATGATAACATATTAAAAAAATAAAGGATGGTCGTAAGTGCAGTTTGTTGTATCTCAAATATGTCATAAGTCAGGGCCTACCTGTATTTTCTTCCTGTCTTTTTTCTGTTAATGTACAAGTCCTGTATAATTTCCTGTGAATAACAGCACCATTTTAATTTACTCATTTCCTGTTAGGATTAAATTTTAACAAGCCGTCCTCCACAGTACTTAGTTGTCATTCAGATGCATAGCTCACATCTTAGTCCTTAGTGGAAGTCCTTGACCTGATATTTAAGGCCTTCCATAATCTAATTTTCCAGATTTATATTTCACTCTGTCTGTTTGTCTGTCTCTCTTTGGCTCTCTCCTATAGCCAAGCTAGATGGTTGTTCCCTTTCATGTCTGATATGAATGCATAACCATGCTCCATGGCTCGTTGTAAACATCATTTCTTCCATGACACATCCCTAGGTTCCCTCAGGGCAGAATGAATGACTTTCCATATATATATGCCTGTAACACCTGTGCCTTTATTTAGCAGCCATCATCATCTAGCAGTGGTTTCTGTGTATGTCACAGTGTGAGCACCTTAATTACCTTTGCATCCTCCACAGCCCTTGTCCGTTGAAGGTGCATAATAAATAAATGAGTATCACAGCCATCAGGTCAGTGCAGGTTTTTGTCACCTGTTGTATTTGGCACTAACTGGATAAAATATGTATTTTTGCCAATTTTTTAATATGAGACTGTAAATTACTTAGAGTCAAAATGAGTGGGAATAGGCAGTAAATTCTGAAGTAGTTCAGAGAGGAGAGATGTTTATAAGGACTGGAATGGTCAACAAAGGTTTTATACAGGAGATGGGACCTGAAGGATTAATAGAATTTGGATAAGTAGGAAAGGAAGGAGAGGGCATTGTTTTTGTGAAAATAGCTTAGGCAAGAAATGAATTTGTCTTGTCAGTGTGGTCTAAACTTTCTTCTGTGTAGAGAAAATTTATATAGCAGCATACTTATTAAATTTCTCTGGGACAATTTCCACAAAATACCTCTGTGAGAAATACTAGGATGGTGACTTTTGCCTTCTGGATAGTTTGGAGTTCAAGAGTAATGGAATAGACTAATAATTAAGAAAATGATTTTGAGGGTCTCTCATGACGCAAATGGTTTGTGCTCGACTGCTAACCTGAAAGGTGGTGGTTTGAACCCACCCAGTGGCACCACGGAAGAAAAGGCCTGGCAGTCCACTTCAGTAAAAGGAAACCCTATCGAGCATTTCTACTTTGTGACACACGGGATCGCCATGAGTCAGAATCAGCTCAAAGGTACAAGACAACAACAAGCAAGAACTAAAAAAAAAGTTTTAAAGAAAGACTATAATTCTAGAGTCAGCTCCCTCAGTTCAAATCCCTGCTTCCCAAGTCTTTAGCAATGTAACACTGAGCAAGTTGTTTTACACCTCCATTCCTTGGTTTAGGTTTCCTTTCATCTGTAAGTGGAAGATGTTAATAGTACTTGTCTCATCAGGATTGTTGGAGGGGTCAGATGAGATTATGTAAAGTAGATGTCACAGTTCTTGGCACATATTAAATCCTCAGTAAATGTTTACTGCTATCGTGATTATTGGAAACAGTATAATTATTAACTCTGCTGTTGCTATTAGTGTTATCGTTTCACGGGTCAGGGAGGACCTAGTGCTAATGTCTCTTACAGGAGTTTTTTCAGGTTTCTTGTGCCCACCTTCTCTGTTGCTGTTGTACCTCTGTGAAGCCATTCAGTTTATTCCTACCTTAATTCTCAGAAGAATGCTCTCCAGGCTACAGTAGGGAGATTCGGTTGGGTGGGAATTGGAATCCTCCTAGTCGCCCTCTTCATTAGTGCATAGCAGGTCTGTCAGATGACCTTATTGCGTATGCTAATAAGTGTCTAAATATCATGGAGAGTCTTCTTTCCTTCAGGTTGTTCTTACTTTGGTTTTATTTTCTCTTTCATCTAATGTCTTTTTCTCCCCTTTGATTGAAATAACTTCTGAGCCATAGTTCTCTTTCTGAGGTCCAGCTTATGGCATGAAAACATTTTTTTTCCTCTTAGCTACTTGCTCTCCTTCTTGACTTACTGAGTCAGATTTTTACTTTTGCGGCAGGTTTTTATTGCAAGAGTTACCATGTAAAGAGTAGATAATGTAATTTCTAAATCTCAAAAGAACACAATGAATGAGTGTGAGGAAGACAAAGTAATATTTTAGCATCAGTGCACTTAGAATTTTAGACGTACTTGTTTGTCATCTCGTTCAACTCTTGAAGTTTCCTAGCTGAGGAAAAATAGATGCAAGAGAAGTGAATCGCTGAGTTCACACTGCACCAGTGCCTTTTCTACTAACTCACACTTCTCAGGCATTGCTATGCTATTTAAAGAGTCTAAGATTTCTTGAGTTCTGGTTTTCGAAGCAGTAAGTATAAATAGTTTGTAAAAGCTCCAGATGTGTTTGTGCCATTCAGGAAATGACTCACCTTTTCTTGTATTGTTGTAGTGTTCATACTGGCTAAAATTAGCCCAAGAAATGGGCGGCATAATTCCCAATGAGTTGGATGGAGCAAAAGGTGGTGTATAAGGCGCTTTAGTGCAAAGCTTCGGTCTCATGCGGTCTCTGATGATGGTAATTGAGGTCTCTGAGCACGCAGAGCCCGGTAGTATCTGCCTTCCATCTTGAAAGAAAGTAACATCTGAAAAGGGTAGGGTAAGTTAAGGAAATGTGAGATCACCAGGTAGAGTTTTCTGCTCTGATTGCTTAAATTATCCAGTCTTGCTGCAAACAGTTTTTATCCAAAATAGCCTACTTAGAAGGCAGTGTTTTGCTCGAAGATTTCATCTCAGGGGTTACTTTAGTTCATCTCCTGTTTTTCTGCTGACTTAGACTCTCCTGCAATAAATAAGCTCTGTGCGATTTGCTTGGAAATTTTCTCCATATTTACTCATGTCCTCATAAGCTATTGTGTATTAGAATCTGAGGATGCTTTACTGGAGATCTCTTAAAGGTCATCCGTCATTGGTTTCTAACCAGGAGCAGTAGGCTTCCCAGGGCGGGCTTTGGAAATAGGTAGGCGTTTTTGGTAGTCAGTAACTGGGAAATACTATTGACATTCAGTATCATTGGCCACAAATGCTAAGCCTTCACCACCGTGCAGAGAAGTCCTACACAGTGAAGAGTTTGGCCACCCAAAATATACTAGTGCTCCTGACAAACAGTGAGCCCAGCCCTCTCATTTCATAATGGGGAAATGATCACAGAACTACGAGCGGAGCTGAGCCTAGACCGAACCCAGCTTTTATGCGGTATATCTCCTAGTTTATACACATCTCCTAGTTTATACACATGGAAGAAAAAAGCTTTCTGAGACCTATTCCAGAGACCACCACTGCTTTTAAAAAAAAAAGAAATTTTTTTAAGTGCGTATGTGTGTATATATATAAATAATACTATTATTTTCATAGCAGTGCTGATTAGACGAAAGCTAAAGCACCAAGGAATTTTCGAAAGTAGGTCTGTCTGAGATAGCAGCTCCTATTTATAGTGAGTTTGAATGTTTTCTAGCTTGTAATTAATATATATGAGTTAATTTAACCCACTGAGAAATTTGTAGCATATGTGTTGTCACGTATGTCTTAAGACTCACCTGAAGGAATCTGGGACACAAGATAGGGTTTTTCCCAAGGGAGTTGGAAGCTTTGAGTCTATTCGTGGGAGACTGGGGCTAAATGAATCTTGTGAAGGGACTGCCAAGGTAAACACCTTAGGACTTCTAGGCCCATATGGCAATATGTCAACTTCTTTCTTGATACAGAGAAGTAGGCTTTGAACAATTAAAGGTCAGACTAAAAAATGCCAACGTTTGTTTGATGAAATCTAATGAGGCATGTCAGTAAGAAATTTATGAGGGCAATAAAGAGCTTTGTCCGAACCCAGATGTTTTTTACTATTAATGAAAGGGACCTGGAGTCAGAAAACTTAGACTCAAGCCGGTTTTAGTACTTGGGAACTTAAGTTAGCCTCTTGCTCTCTCTGGGCCTCAGTTTCTTTATCTGTTGCCCATACATTATTGTGAGGATCAAATGAGTATATTTGTGAATGTGTTGCCAATTATAAAATGCCAGATGCATATGGATATTCTTATTTTTTTCTAGGAGAAGCCAGCCAAAGTCAAAGTAGAGTTGACTTCTGGTGTCTCTTCCAAAGGCTCTGTGGTTAAAAGAAATCAACAGCCCGTCACTTCCGAGCAGAATTCCCCTAAGGAGAACGCCTCCAAGCTGACACTGGAGAACTCGGAAGCCGTAAGCCAGCTCCTAAGTGTAGCTCCTCTAAGAGAAGCGGGTGAGGAGAATGAATGGGAGGAAACGATCATCTCAGATGCTCGTGTTTTGGTCAAGGAAGTTCCTGGGAATCGTGGTATAGCAGTCACTAAGACGCCGGTCGTCAAGAGTAGTGTGCAGCCTGAGGTCACCCTGGGGACAACTGAGAATGACAGTCCTGGATCAGACATACCACCGCCAGCTGAGGGGACCAGCAACTCCAGTTTACTCCCTTCTTCCAAAAAACCGCCAGGGTAAGCTAACGTGCTTATATCCAATTGGACTATATTTAGAATAGCAGCTTTAGAAATACGTATTTGTTTTACCCCGTGTTCTTTCGGCATTCCTGAGCAGAGCCCACCTAATGTTTCTTGTATTGGAGATACAGAAACTAAGGCTTAGAGACATGTAATGATTTGCCTTTCCTCCCACACTCTGCTAGCTATGCCCTCCTGTCAAATCCCTATAGATCTTTTCTTTCCATTCTCCCTAAAGCCGTTATTAGGGTCGTGCTGGTACAGGCTGTGGGCAGTGTTACCAGCCATGAGTTACTAATCCTGGATACTAGATTTGGAAAGAGAAGCCTTATTAAGGTACCCTACAGAAAGAGTCCTGGTCTGGTGGTCAGAAAACTCAGTTCTGCATACACAGAACTCTGTTCCTGGCTTCTGTTGGACATTGAGCATAGTCACTTCAGGCCTCTTGATTTCAGTTTTCTCCTCTGAACAATCTTGAGCTGGGGATTAAAAAATCCGGTCATCACAGACTGATTGAGAAAGATTGTATGTAAAGTACATAGCCCAGAGCTTTGCAAATAGGAGGCCAATAAGTGTGGGCTGTCTTAGTCCCCCTTTCCCTCCTTGAGGGAACTGGATTCTACGCATAGGGCCTTGCCGGAGGCTGTCGTGTTCTTGTAACTGAAGGCCCTTATTTGCTTTTATCAGTGGTTCTCAACTGGGAACAATTTTGGCCCTAGCAGACATTAGGCAATGTTTGGAGACATTTTTAATTGTCACAACTAGAGGAGATGCTACTGGCATCTAGTAAATAGAAACCAGGGATACTGCTGAACATCCTACAATGTGCCGGATGGCCCCCTTCCCTCAACAAAGAATTATCCAACCCAAAATGTATGGGCCTAAAATGGTTTGGAAACCCTGGTTTATATTATTTTTATGATTTTTAGATTTTTATTTATTGTTGAATAGGTAATACATTCACTTGGTTCAGTCATCCATTTCCATTTTCCAGAGGCAATAAATATTCACAGCTTCCTATGTTTCTAGAGAGACTTTCAAATACAGATAAGCAGATATACACACACATAAGCTATATACTTGCTCACGTATGTGTGTGTACTTTTTCCCACTTTTCTGCAGAAATGATAGCATAACACGTACTTTTGCATCTTGGTTGTTTTTTGTTTTTTTTTTTTTAAACAATATGCTTTAGAGTTGGTTCTGTATCCCTTAAGAATGAAACTGTGTACTTGAGGCCTTTTTGTTTGGGTAAGTTAAGTAGTCACTTTAGCAAATGCTTATTGAGGCCTTCTGTGGTATAGGCCCTGTGCTCAACATTGGAGCTACAAAGGTGAAGGAAACATGGAATCTGTCCTCTAGAGTCTTTAAGCCACCCTTACGTGAGAGACTGATACTCTTTAAGTAATTGCTGTAATTAGAGGCAGGTTAAATGTTGTAACTACAACAGTGGCTGTTGGTATTACACATTGTAGGCACTGTTTTGCACTTTCATTTTATCTTCATAATGACCCCGTGAAGTATAGGTTATTGCCATCGCATTTTATAAATTAGGAACTTAAGGTTAATGGAAGAGTGAAATTACTTGTCCAAGACTGCACAGTTAGAAATTACTTGGTCTGACTCCAAAGTTTGGCTGTTAAACCACTACACCATCGTGTCATGAAATGCTATTTGGAGATTGCACTTTGCTTTTCTTTCCCTTGGTTCAGGATTTCCAGGAGATTTCTCTTCTTCTTTTTTCAGAGTTGACCTCACCCCTGGGCCCAGAGCCCCAGAGCTTAAAGGCAGAGCACGGGGCAAGCCTTCATTACTGGCTGCAGCAAGACCCATGAGAGCAATTCTTCCGGCGCCAGCTAGTGTGGGGCGAGGTAGCAGCATGGGACTGCCCAGGGCCAGGCAGGCCTTTCCCCTGAGTGGTGAGGACTGGGACACAACCTGGGCAGAGGGGCTGTGTGATTGGAGGGGGTCAGGGATGGGGCTAAGAATGGAGATGAGGGACCTGGGAGGCTCTCAATGCACTTAAGTCACCGGTTTGGCTCCTGGTTATCTCAGATAAGACTCCCTCTGTGAGGACTTGTGGTCTGAAGCCAAGCACACTGAAACAACTGGGCCAGCCCATCCAACAACCATCCAGCACCGGTGAGGTGAAGGTAAGACCATTTCCCAGAGTGGAAGCTGTCTGAGCTGCTCTGAGAACAGGCCCTCTATTTAGCATATTAAAGCCGTAGGCAAAAGGCAGACTCTAATTCTTACACTGGCAGGTCTCGGAGAGGTGGTTTACCATGAATGATTTATCTTTTTTTCTTAAAAGAGATTAACAGTGCATAAAATTTATTCAGTCTTTCATGTGATTTTATTTTCTCCCTTCAACCATAATAATATGATTTCCAGATTTTGTCTTACCTGAAAGGTCTGTACACATAGGCTTGTCCAGTCCACTTACAGGCAGGACAAATGCTGCATCTTGAAATGGTCCTACCATGGACCCTCTGATCATCCAATCCAAGTCGCCCCCTTGCCTGGCCTTATCTTCACTATATTGTGCAGCCGTTTTCTCCTTTCAGACTTTTCACTTTTCCGTGGCTCCCATGATTCTGCTGTGTTTTTTGCATAGAGTATATCTGACCTTTACTTCATTGCTACCACCCTTGGGACTCTGAGCCTTCTTGTCAGCACTGTCACTCCCAGAGACTGTTCTCTTTCCCCCTCTTTTCCAGAACTACTTTTTCCTTTGGGTAGCATCTTCAAAACTTGCTGTTGAACTCTGTTATTTTTTAAGTAATTTTTTTTCTTATTATAAAATGAATACATGTTTTTAAACTTTTTATTTAGAAATAATTTAAAACTTATCCCAAAAGTTGCAAGAATAAAAGTAGTACAAAGAACACCTAAATACTCTTTACCCAAAAACCCAAGAGTATGGGCTCCAGACACCCTTTTAGCTCGGTGGTGAAGTCACTTCCGAGGTTCACTGTTCAGCCCGGGATTGGACAGCCCCATAAAACAAAATGGGACTAATGAGGCACAGCAGTCTAGGGACAAGGGCTAGAAGGCAGAAGGAGACAGGAAAGCTGGCAATAGGGAACCCAAGGTTGAGTAAGGACAGTGCTGATGTGTAGTGAGGTTGTTAACCATTGTCATAGGGCAACATGTGTACTAACTGTTTAATGAGAAACCATTTTGTTCTGTAAACCTTCATCTAAAGTGAGAA